ATTTCCTAGTTTTGAATCTTCTTTATAAGCTGTCAGTTGATTTCCTAGTTTTGAATCTTCTTTATAAGCTGTCAGTTGGTTCCCAGTTTTGAATCTTCTCTATAAGCTGTCAGTTGGTTCCCAGTTTTGAATCTTCTCTATAAGCTGTCAGTTGATTTCCTAGTTTTGAATCTTCTTTATAAGCTGTCAGTTGGTTCCCAGTTTGAATCTTCTCTATAAGCTGTCAGTTGGTTTCCCAGTATTGAATCTTCTCTATAAGTTGTCAGTTGGTTTCCTAGTTTTGAATCTTCTTTATAAGCTGTCAGTTGGTTTCCCATTTTGAACAATATGCCTTCAGTGAAAAAAGGAAAAGAGTTTACAGTTATTACAGATACGGAAATTAATTCGTTCGTTGTTTGTGCATAGAGTAGAGAAGACTGGGGATTTGCCTGTTATCCTGAATAAATAACAAGTTAATTCAACAAAATAATAAATAATAATATATTGTGTGGAAATAAATAAATAATATTGCTCGAGGCGACTCACATATCTCTACAACAACTGTCGTATCCCAGGCGACCTACATATCTCTACAACAACTGTGGTATCCCAGGCGACCTATATATCTCTACAACAACTGTCGTATCCCAGGCAACTTACATATCTCTACAACAACTGTGGTATCCCAGGCGACCTATATATCTCTACAACAACTGTCGTATCCCAGGCGACTTACATATCTCTACAACAACTGTCGTATCCCAGGCAACTTACATATCTCTACAACAACTGTGGTATCCCAGGCGACCTATATATCTCTACAACAACTGTGGTATCCCAGGCGACCTATATATCTCTACAACAATTGTCGTATCCCAGGCGACTTACATATCTCTACAACAACTGTGGTATCCCAGGCGACCTACATATCTGTACAACAACTGTGGTATCCCAGACGACCTACATATCTCTACAACAACTGTGGTACCCCAGGCGACCTACATATCTCTACAACAACAACTGTGGTATCCCAGGCGACCTACATATCTCTACAACAACT